GTGCGCCGCGGCGGCGGCCGCGGCCGGCCGCCCGGCGTCGTCGTAGCTCCAGTCGTCGTCGTCGTCGTCGCTCGACCCCGCCTCTGAGACCTCCCTGTCCTCCTCCCAACAGTCGCCGCCGCGGCCGCAGCCGCGGCTGCGCGGCGCGGCCGCGGGGGCTGTCAGTGCCGACAGCGCCGCGTGCCACGCGCCGTCGCTGCCCAGCCGGCATATGCTGAGGGACGCCGCCCCGCGCAGCGCCGAGAGCTGCGCCAGCGCGTCCGCGGCCGCGGCCGGGTCGACCGGCCGCGAGGGGTCGCACGCGAGCCGCACCGCGCGGGCCGCGGGGAATGCGGCCGCGGCCTGGCCGATGCGGCGGCGGCGCTCGCGCTCGCGCTCCAGCTCGGCGGAGCGGCGCTGCTGCTGCCGGTGGGCGACCGGCCACCCAGACCCAGACCCAGACGCCGACCCCGGACCGCACCCCTGGTCGCGCCGCGGCGCCGCGTCGTCCGCGCCGTCGGCGTCGTCGCCGCCGCCGCCGCCGCGCCCGCGCAACCGGCGCACGCGCGGCTCCGGCACGCTCGCCTGCCGCGGCAGCTTCGGCGGCCGCCAGCGGATCTCTGAGGCCGCCAGGTCGGGGTCGCTGCTGGCGCTCCCAAGGATTGCGGCCGTCGCGGCGTCGGCGCCCTCCTCGGCGCCGGCGGCGGCGGCGCCGCCGCCACGGGGCTCGGGCGCGAGGGCGCCCTGCCACATCGCCGGCGGCAGCGCCAGGGTGGATACGAGGGCACCCAACTCGTGCGACCACGCCTTGCACGCGAGCCGCGCGGCGCGCAGGTCAGCGGGCGAGAGCCACTGCTGCAGGCCCTGCGGGCACGCGAGAGGTGCATGTACAGCGCGGGGGCGGGGCTTGAGCACGTGGCTCAGCCCGCCAGGCCAGGCGGCAGGGCGGCTCGGGCTGGCGCAAAAGGGCGTGCGAGGCGCTTGCTGGCGCACCGGGTGCGTCAACCCAGGGCCTCAAGCTGGGAACGGCGTTCCCGGTCGCATTTCAAAGGCTTTCACCTGAAGAGCTGCAGAGGGCACCTCCCTGGCGTCGATGCAGGGGTGAGGGTCCATCATGGTCGAAGCCGCGGCTCGAGCTGGGCCCGTGCCCACCCTCAGTGCTGCTGTGAGCCTCTATCGATTGGTTCAGTAGATGTGGCTAGCTGCGAGAGGGTCTGTCACCCGCGGGTAGCGGCTCGGGACAACAAAGAGGGAGACTTCGCGACTAGCGGTCGTCTGCTCCTCCTCTGGTGATAAAGACAAGCCACGAGGCAAACCACTAATGAGACGCTGAAGCCACAAGAACCCACCTGTGGGCTCACCACCTGCTTTGTATGCCGCACCCACCTGTCGTGCGGCACCTGCTGCAGTCGCCTCCCAACCAGCTGCTCCCAACGGATGACAAATGCCCAATGCAGGCTTTGTGGATGCCCATACCAAACTTTGGAGGCATTTGAAAATGCGAGACATGTCAGTTTGACGGGGCAGGAACAGAGGACTGTTTGCACCCGCTTCCACTTCTCACATTCCTGCTGCGCGTCTGGCGCGTCCTGCAGGCACCAGGCAGGCGCCCAAGCAGGGCGCTTGTTTCGCGGTGGTGTTTGTGGCGTGGTGTTGCAGCAAGAGAACAGGGTCAGATTACACAGGGCAGCATGCGAGGGCTTGAACCATGCCACGCCGGCGCCACTAACCATCCCGGTGTGTTCACGCTAGAGCACGTCAGGCATGCTGGGCACGTTGGCTGACTCATTTGGATCTTCGTCCACAAGCATCATATCAGCATCTTCTGCCAGCGCGCCTGCTGATCACCCCAGTCATTCAGTCATTCAGTCATGCTGTGCAGTGGGATGGTGAGCTGGCTGCACGGCGCACACCCTTGCCCCAAACACCATCTGGTGTGTACAATCGCTGCAAAACTCAAACTTTCAGGGTGAATGTTACACAGGCATGCCGAACGCAACGCAAGCGGAAGCAAGTTAGGCAATGCGCAAGGCAGCGCGCCTCATCTCGGAGGGCGGCTCTACAAAGGCACCGATTGCAGCGCCTTCACAGGCGGGCTGGACAATGCGTGTTTACGTGTACAGGCGAGGTAATAGGAGGGCTCAGCGCGGCTGGGAGAATAAACAGCGGCACTTGGTTGCAACCAGGGCGTGGACAAAATGCTGCCGTGACCGTGCAGCCGGTAGCTCCGACTCAGAGGAGCCAGCACAGAGGGGTGCTCAAAGACCCCCTCTCGAGTACAGGCAATGCTGCGTACCAATCTGCCTGCCGTGGCCTGTCGACATCATCGTCCCTCCGTGTGATCATATCCCGTCCCGTCCCGCCCCGCCTCTCCCCTGCCTGCGCAATCACATCCTCCCGTCGTCTGCTGAGCCCTGCCCGCCCGCCGCAACCGCTGCCACCGCCGCCCGGCGCGCGCCCTCGGAAACAGCCTCTAGTTGCCTGCCCTGCCTTGCCACCCAGCACCGCGTCCCGCAGCCGCCAACCACCAACCCCTGAGACAGGGCGCTCAGAAGCAACAGGCTCGCCGCGCTGCGCCGCACTGTCCACTTGGCCGGCAGGCGGCCGCTTAGAACCCTGTGAGGTTTTGCGTGGCATTCACAAAGATCAGAACCGCAATGGCCCCAGCCTATTACAGCGCAATGGCCTCCCATACGTGGCCTCCCACATCAGATGATCTGCACGCCACACAACCTCGTGGAGGCCCGCAATAAAACCACATGTGCCGTAGGCGGCCGCATGCCACCGCCGTGGGGCCGCTCGGGGACGGCGTGCGGCCGCATGTGCTGTAGGCGACCCACGCCATCCCCGAGCGCCCCCGTGCAACCCCCGCGCCACCGTGCAACCCCCGCGCCACCCCCATGCAGCCCCATGCGGCCGCAAGCCGTCGCCATGCGAGCCTCACCGTGGACCTTGATGAGCTCCTTCTTTACAAGCCCCTCCTGCGTGAGGAACTGCAGCACGTTCTTGCGCTGGTCGCCCTGCAGCTGGATCACGTTGCCCAGCTCGGGGTCGTCCACCACAGTGCCGTTGCAGCAAAACTGCGCGCGTGGGGCCATTTGCGAGCGGCAAAGGTGAGAACGGGCTCCAGAGCCGGGTCGGCGGGGCGCGCCGGAGGCACGCTGGTTCTGCTTTGACTATGGGGGGTCGCAGGTGTGGTGGGCCGTTGCTCGACGCACGCACCTCTTTCTTGAGGGCTTTGAGCACCTTCTTGTAGTCGTAGCTCTTCTTGAGGCCCTGCGGGGCCGCACATGCTGAACAAGGTGAGCGCAGGCAGGCGCAGTCGGCACAACCGCTACGTGCGCGCTGCACGCAGGGAGCGGCCTGCTGCTTGAGAAAGCGGGGGAGGGGGGGGGGGGTGCGCGCCCTCACCTGCACAGTGGTCAGGGACTTCTTGCCGTTGCGCTGCTGGATGCGCAGGTGCACGACGTCGGCTCCGGAAGTCTCCTCTTCCTGTCCTGCCGCATCAGCAAACGCATCTGTAGGAGCGCGGGTTGGGGAAGGGGGATCAAGGAGCTGGTTCCGGGCCACGACGAGGCGCGGCGTGCGGCGCAGAGGCCGCTGGACCTGTCCGCCGCTGGTGTCGACCTGAGGGCTGACGAAAAATACATAGAGACAGAGGTCAAGGCAGGGCCAGGGGAGCCGGAGACGAAGTATGGTATGCATGCATCCAAAGCCCCGTTCCTCCGCTCACCAAAAGTTCCCCCGGGGATGGGGAGGTTGAGCTCGATATCTGCGCTCATGTGCTGAGCTGATAATGGGCTGGACGGCGTCCGCGTCGCTGGGCGTGGCCTGGCGAGAGTGGTGCACTAGACTTGCAGAGGGCCCCGAAAGTACAAGCGGATGCCGAACCAAACTTCCAAACACGAAACAGGGAAATACAGAATATATCCACGCGCATCCGCGTCGGGACTATGATGTGTCATGTCCATAAGTCCAACCCACTGCGTCGTCCCCGCTTCACTTCCCTTCACAACCGATTTGTACGTCTTCAACATGGGTTGACGACTCTGGTAGATGTATATGACGTCATGTCACAAATGCATGCTGGGGTGCGACCGCTGCATGCGGCCCGCAGGGAGGAGGGTGTGGATGGCCATGCAGGATGCTTGCAGATGACCATGTGGCACCCCTGCGGTTGCTAGGACAGAAGCCAGAAGCCACAGCAGGCCAGACACACCGGCAGCAGCGGCAAAAACTCCGCTAGGTCAATGTGTGTGTGTGTGTGTGTGTGTGTGTGTGTGTGTGTGTGTGTGTGTGTGTGTGTGTGTGTGTGTGTGTGTGCTTCCACGGGGTTGCACGCGCTGCAGGTGAATCTGGTTCACCTGCAGCTTGAGCAGCGTGGTTGGCCCTGGTGATGGCCGCTTCAAAGGGCGGCTGTCACGCAGCATTGCGGTTCAAGCGTGGCCTGATGGACTCAGAATACGGCCGCCACCGCCCAAATGCTGGGTACGGCATTTCTGGCGTGCACGCATGCACTGCTGTTGCTGTGCTTGCTCCTGCCGGGTGGTGCGTGGATGGCATGGTTCATGCACCACTGTATGGCCCCTATCAGCAAACCTCCCGATCATGCTATAGCTGTGTGAGAGACGCGGCTGTGTTTCAAGTTTCAAGCCCAGGTTCAGGAGTCTGGTTGGTGAGAGCCACGCCTCTGATCCACTGAAGCGCCCGAACACAATTGGTGCGCAACCCACACAGCGCAAATACGACACCAAGCAACAGGCCTTGGCGCCGTTCTGAGAGCAACTTGCGCTGACATCAAGCTCTCACGTGGCGACTTCTTGCATGCGATTCACGTTACCGAGGCAGATGGCGCGAAATGACAATGTGGCCAGATCACGCGGTCAATCTGATCTTTGCAAATGCTCAGTGCCGCCTATGCTGTTGATTGATCATACATATATGCGCATCCAATGCCGGCGAGAATAGGATGTCGTTGTATCCCAGCTTCAGGGCCAAGTTCGTAAAGGCCAACGCCTGGAGCAGCGATGAAGGGCCTACGCCGGATGGCCCGGAGCTGGTGGTGCGGACAGGCATGCCTCAGGCTGGGCCTTCAGGTTTCTGCAAGCCCCTGGTGCTGCCGCAGCTGGATCTGAACTCAGTCCGGAGCAAGGACGCCGAGCCCCCCGTCAGCGAGTCGATTCTGAAGCGCAATAAGCTTGCCCTATTCGAGAAGCAGTGCTCCAAGGTCTGCGAGGGCCTGTACGTCAGCGGGGAGTATGTCGCCAAGAGCCTGGAAGCGCTGCGTGCCTGCGGCATCACCCACGTCGTGAACTGCGTTGGTGCCATGTATCCAGAGTACTTCAAGGGCGACGGCGTCCAGTACCGCACATTGTGGCTGCAGGGTGAGTCACACCTCTGAAGAAAATCTGCCGCAAGTGCATCATGATTGACCCGGCCAGCGCCTGTTGACCACCTGTGCGCGTTTTGCACTGGGGTCGCTCCTTGGCACCGCCTGAGGGCCGCCTTGTCCCTCTTGCTGCCCACAACTGGCGGCCGTACGCACGCGATGGCATTGCAGACAGCCCCTCGGAGGACATCCTATGTGTGTTGTACGACACGTTTGACTTCATCGACCGAGCCCGGTGCGGCGCCGGCGCACCTGGCAGCGTGCAGCTGCGGCAACGACTGGAGCGGCCACTGGAGCAGCAGCAGCAGCAGCAGCAGCAGCAGCAGCGGCAGCAGCAGCAGAGCCAGCACCAGCCCGTATCAGCGAGCGCTGGGGCGTTCGTGGATGCGGCAGCGGGCGCCGGCCAGCCGGCCGTCGGAGCGTGGTGCAGCCCGATGGAGGTCAGCCGGCCGCTCAGCTGCGGATCAGCCACCGACGCGGGCGCAGACGCCGCGGCCTGCAGCAGCGGCGGCGCGGGCGGCGGGCGGGTGCTGGTACACTGCTCGCAGGGGGTCAGCCGTAGCACAACGATCGCGATCGCGTATCTCATGTGGAAGCTGGGGCAGCCCTACGAAGAGGTGTACCAGGTGCGTGAGTTCAGCGCACGCGGTTGCTTGCGCCAGCGCGTGCCGGCATGTGGCCCATGCCGCACGGCTGGATCAACGCAGGCCGCCTCGCGCGCCTGGCTGCCCGCGGCGCACGTGCGGGCTGGCCCCTTTCACGCATCCCGCGGCCGCCGCCGCCGCCGCTTGGCGCGCCACGTTGCAGGCGGTCCGGGCGCTGCGTGGTGTGACCAGCCCCAACATCGGGTTCACGTGCCAGCTGCTGCAGTGGCAGGTGGGAACCCCCGTTTGCACCAACAGTCAAACTGGCAGCTTGTGCATGCAGGCGCGCCTTTGCATGGTGCAAGGGACCCGGAGCTGACGCCCTGCAACGCCGCGACGCAGCCAGTCGAGTATTGCTGCTTGGGGATGGGGCGCGTGCACATTGGGACGCCCCACGCGCCGCGGTTGCGCACCTCCCCCGCAGAAGCGGCGCTCGCGGCCGCCCAACCGGGTGCGCGTGTACCGCATCGCCCCCCACACGCCCGATTCCCCGCTGTACCTCGTGCCGCGCGCCGTGGCGCCCGCCGCGGGCTGCGCCCACCCCGATTCGCGGTGCCTCGACCCAAGGTGAGCGGCGGCGGGCGGGCCCAAGCTCGCCGTCCCCACCACCAGCCCGGTGGCCACTGCCAATGGCCGCCGGCGCGGCGCAGCGACCGCGGTCGCATGCCCCGGCCCGCCTCGGCTTTCTGCAACCGCTCGCATGCACTCTGACAGCCCCGCGTCCCGCAAACGCCTGCGCAGGGGCTGCTTCCTGATCCACCTGCCGACTAAGCTGTACGTGTGGCGTGGTACGGACTGCCTGAGCACCATGCTGGAGGGCGGCCTGCGGTGTGCGGGGCAGCTCGTCTTTTACGAGGGCGCCGCGCCGCCGGTGGTGGTGCACCAAGGTGCGCCCGCTTTCCGACGCTCGCAACCCGGGACCAGCAACTTTGATGACGACCGGCCCGCAGCCCAGCACAGCACAGCCGTGGCACCCGGCTTGTTTAAGGGAAAGCCCCGCCAACAGCGCGGCGCAGCAGGCGCGCGGTCTGTGGTGCTGGGCTCGTCGCCCCTGCCGCCTCCCCCTCCGCCTTTCGCGCCTGGTCGCGCCGTGCGCACGCCGCGCGCCGCCCCCATCGGAGATTCGTGCGCTTGCGTGTGATGGCTCACTCCCTCTCTCTCATGTATGCACTGATGGCGACCAGGGGAGGAGCCGGATGATCTTGTGGCGGCCCTCACGCCGGCGGCACCCAGCAGCGCCATCCAGCCACCTGGCGGCGGCGGCGGCGGCGGCGGCGGCGCTGACATCAGCGTCGAGCCGTCCTCTGCCAGCCTCCAGGGCGGCTGGGCTGCCGCCGCCGCGGGCGCCACCGCGGCGCCCGCGGCGCTCGCGGCCACGGCGTCCGCGCCCCCGTCTGAACCGGGGCCTGACGACGGCGAATGCGGGGCGGCGGACTCGGAGCCATCTGCAGGCGCGAGCGCTTTCTCGTCGCCCCCGGCGTCGCTGCCGGCATCTGCAGCGGGTGCGGCGGGGGCCGATGGGGGAGGGGGTCAGATTGTTTTCAAATGGTACCGCTGCGCCAGGGCCGGCACAGACCATGGGGGAGACGCGCGTGCTGTGCGCGTCATGCTGAGGCACGGGCTCGCTGTTTGCCCCGCAGGCTCCTGGCCCACCAGCGCGCGGGTCGGCTACACAGGCATGGCCGCTGCCGGTGGCGCGATGCAGCGCGGGCCGTCGCAACAGCTGCAGCAGCAGCAACAGCAGCAGCTGCAGCAGCAGCAACGGCAGCAGCAGCTGCCGTCGCGGAGGCCCTCGCCGCGGCCGAGCGGCTGCGACGCCGCGGGCGCGGCGGCGGGCGCGGCGGCGGATGCAGCGGCGGACGCGGCTGCGGATATGTTGGTGGAGCAGCTGAGCCAGCAGCAGCTGAGCGGGCAGGCGATGCCGGTGCGCACATGGGGGCGCGGGTGCTGGGCTCAGGGGCTCGTCATCGAGGCGGTTGAGTGGGCGGCGTGGACTTTCGCGGCGTGGTTGCGCGACGTCATGTTCGGTGATAGCATGCATCAGCTTTCTCGCACGACACACACACATACGCACACACACACACACACACACACAATATACTTGTATATATTGGGACACAGGTGTCCCCTGTGGATGACTACACCCCCGAGTTCCAGTCATTCTTCCGAGCCCTACGCCAGGCCGGCGGCTCCGACGCCGCCGGCGCCGGCCGCCTGACCCCACGGTCCTCCATGCTGCTCTTCAGCCGCGATGACAGCGCGGCGGGCGGCGCGCGGCCCGACTCGCCTGCGACGGTGGAGGGGCGGAGCCGCAAGTACAGGCGCAGGTGGGCGGGGCTCATCGGGGTTGCAGGATGGGGGGAAGCTGCTTGCCACGCCGGCCCCGCGGCGCGCGAGCGTCTCCGCGACCGCAGGCCCAGCACAGTTGCGTGACCTGCGGTGTGCACAGCGGGCTTGATGTGAGCATTTTTGCGCATTTACTAGCAACTGGAGGAGGCGGCGGCGCAGCGTGATACGGCAAGGATCGCGGATGCTCGCATGATCTCCGCCACCGCCCGCCCTTACTACCGCCGTGCCGCCCCTGCCATCCTTCCCACGCACCGGCACCAAAAGCAGCGACAGCGAGCGGTGGGGCGCAGGCGGCGGCGGGGGCGGCGGCGGCGCGAGCAGGCTCAGCAGCGCTGGCAGTGGCTGGTGGGGCGGGGCCCTGCCACAGGCGGCCGCCGGCGCCGGGGTGGGCGGCGACGCGGGGCCCGCGTCAGGCGCAGACGCCTGAATGCGGCGGGCGGGTGACAGTGAGTGGCTGCGGCCGCAGCGCTGGCGCAGGACAGTGCCTGCAGGCTCAAATTCTCTGTCCGAATCTTATCTACTTGACTACATACCTTGAAAGCGCATGGGTCATGGCCGCCAATGAGCTGATTCTTGCACGCCTCCCCATGCCCTACTTGGTGGCCCATCCAGCATCCGCTCACGTTGTGCGCTAGGCTCGCCGCTTTCATGCGGCTCATATTTGCTGCGGATTTGCTGCCGAATGTGTAAGCCCACCTGCCAAGGATGTAAGGGCAATGACGGTGCCACCCCATGGGCGCAGCGGGATGACTGGCAGAGTGGTCAAGCAGTGTCAACTGCGGGTGCTAGCCAGCGGGTTCCTGCCTGCATGTGTCTGGCCCGTATCGGATACACGCATAGCACATTCTCACAGGTGATTGGTTGTGTGTTGCGTTTGCACCATGGGCTCAGGGGCGAATTGATCTCGCTCGATCGCTCTGGCACCCATTTGAATATTCGTCACATCCAAGATTGGTACAGTGACTGTTCACACAATAACAAGTAGATAGAGCAATGCACAGCGCCTTGAGCTCTGCAGCTGGGACGCATGCTGCCACTGCGGCGCGCCGGCTGCCGAGTGGCACTGCGCGCACGGCATATGTGCCCGTGCTCGCCCGTTCCAGCGGCGGCGGCCGCACAGCCAGCCGCGGCCGCGGCGCATCCGGCCGCGGCGGCCCCGCCAGAGGCGGTCGCGGAGGGCGCGGCGGGCGCAGCGGGCGCGGTGGCCGGGGCGGACCATGGCAACAGCGGCGCCGCGATGGCGGCGGCGGCGCGCCGAGCGGCGGCGGGGCTGGCGGCATCGGCGGCGGCGATATCGTAGTCATAGGCAAAGCGGAGTCGCGCTACATTCCAGAGGACGACGAGACCCTTGCGGCGTCAGAGGGCGGAAGCTTCTGGGAAACTGCCTGGAGGGCGGAGTTTGGGGATGATGACGAGGATGAGGATGAGGAGGAGGGGGAGGAGGGACAGGATGGGGAAGAGGGGGAGGATGATGGGGACGACGACGAGGAAAACTTTGCGGCGGTGCTGCAGGTGCGTTTTGCGGTGCGTTCATGCGCGAACGCATGCGTTCAAGGTTGTGCGTTTGAGAGCGCGCAGGTGCGTGCATGTGTGTGTACGTGTGTGTGTCTGTGTGTGCTCTTCACCTTGCCTATGGGCTCGTCCCCTTTGCATGTGCGCATGAGGGACTGATGAGGCATGTGATCCCTGCGGACCCCTTGTTGCAGGCCCTTGTGCCTGAGCTGGCAGAGGAGGGCGAGACCGAGGCCCAGGCCGAGTGGCGCCACGTGTACACCAGCCAGCGGCTGCCGGCGCCGCGGCTGGGGCCCGTCACGGCCAAGCGGGTTGCAGGTGAGCCCGAAAAGCAGAATTTGATGGTGCGATGGGCCGACCTCGGCCCGCCAGCTCTCCTCGCGCACCGTGAACGATGGTGCGGAAAGCCATCCCGGCAGCGATCGTGACCGTTTGGCGGCTTGCTTCGTGCCATCACCGCCGCGTCGGCCGCGCTTCTGAATCTTTGACAGGCGCGGGCCGCGGGCTGGTGACGGCGGCGGCGGTGGAAGAGGGGGAGCTGCTGATGGTGGCCGCGCCGCTGGGCATCCTGTACTGCCCGGTGAGTGACGCCGGCGGCCAAAGCACCGGCGACACAGGTGATGCCGGACCCCCGTGCTCTGTTGACGCCTCGCAGAAAGACTCCTCATGTCACGGGTCGATGTTTGCTGTGTGCATGGGGCTCTGCTGTCTTTGGAGGGCCAGTTGGGGAGAGTGGAAGGAGGCCGTGGCTGCTTCCCTCGGAGAGGCCCTGTGCCCATGAGCCGTCCCCACGCCTGCGCACAGCCGCTCGGCGGCTTTGCACGTCCTGAGCAGCCCCCGCACTCGAAACCTCGCTCATTTTCGCGCGTACGCCCCTGCCAACCGCCGCGCCCGGCGCTCACGCGGACCCGCGGCCCTAGCTTTGGCGCCGCGGCCGCTCGCGCTGTCATTGTGACCAACGCTCGCTCCCGGAAACGCCGACGACGCCCCCTCCCCCCAGGAGGGCGCCACGCCAGAAAACGAGGAGTTGGCCGACCACCTCGCCCAAAACTGCACCCTCACAGCCGCCCAGTCCGAAGCGCTCCGCCTGCTGGCGCCCGCCGGCGGCGGCGCGGCGCCCGCGGCGGTGCTGCCGGCACGGGAGCAGCTCGAGGCGGCGGCGGCGGCGCTCGCGGGCGCTGGAGGTGGGCGGCGCCGTTAGCGAGGAGGAAGGGGGTTGGTCCCGGCGGGGCGGTACCTGGTTGTGTTCAGAGGGCCGCGGCTTGCAGCAGGACTGCCGGGGAATCGCAGCGGGGGCGCGTGCGTGGTACTGGAGACGGGTCAAGCGTCCCAAACCTGTGGCGGCTTGCCACCCCGACGCCGTTCATAAGGCCGGCTCGGCATGGGTCGCCCTGTCCCCATCTCCCCCAAACCTTCCCTGCGGCGCCGCCGCCTGCAAAAACGCCAGGGGACACGCCCCAAGCGCCCATAGATCTGCCGCTGGGGGCTCTCTATGCCGTCGTCAACGCCAACTGCACGGGTGAGGTCAGCGGGCAGGACGGCCCCACCGGCTGCGCGTACCAGCCAGAGGGGCTCTGCGTGACTGTGAAACAGGGACTGCGTAACGGGTGCGTGCCGATTGCCTGTTGATGGGGCTGCTCGATGTGGCTGTGATCCGTCTGGTGCCTGGCAGAGCAGGCGGCAAACAGCAAGGTGCATGGACTGGGACATACAGACAAATGGAGATGCGTCTGCTTCAAAGCCCCAGGCCTGCCTGCCTGCGCATCCGTGCACGAGGGAACGCATGCACAGGTGCACATGTGAATGCGCCCTCAAGGGCACACGTGCACACACGCGCGCGCACACACACACACACACACACACACACACACACACACACACACACACACACAACACCTTCCCGCCTGCCGCCCCCCAGGCGAGGAGTTTGAGGACCCCGTGCTGTGCGCGCTGCGCGGCTCGGCCAGCTGCGGCCACCTGGGGCTGTGGCCGGCCGCGGCGCTCGCCAACCACTCGTGCTGCCCCAACGCGGTCGGATACGCGATCGGGGACAGATGGGTGAGCGCCGGCTCCATCCGTCCGCTTAGGGGCAGCAGTGCCATTGTCCATCATCAGCTTGGTTCCCATAGGAGCGACCCCAGCCGGAAACTCAGCTGTGGATGCTTTGCTGTTGGAGTCACCTTGATCCTTCCTGGTCCACCACGGTCCGACGCTCGCCAGCAACCCCGGTGTCGCCTGGGGGGGATGGGGGGCTTGCAGGTGGAATTGTGCAATCAGTGTTTCGCTCCAGGCGTTGTGCATGCTGGACGGCAGATGCTTGTCAATCTGACGCACCACACACATACACACACGCACGCGCGGACACACACACACACACACACACACTGCGCCGCCCGGCGCGCAGGTGCTGCGCGCCGCCGAGCCGCTGGTCCAAGGCGCGGAGGTGACCGTGTCTTACCTCGGATCGCTCATCACCGCCCCCTACGAGGAGCGGCAGGCGGAGCTCCAGGAGAAGTACGGCTTCGCGTGCGGCTGCCCGAGGTGCGCCGTCCGAGGTTGCTCGGACGGTCCGAGGTTCTGCGGCCGCCTCGTCGCCAGGGACGCGTCCCTCCAGCCTGCGCAAGGGCGCGGCGGTCGCAGGCGCCCACCCGCTCAGCTGCGCCGCCATTGGCATAAGCGCGTGCAATCAGTGCGCCTGCCGGTGTCGAAGGCCCCGCCCCGCCGCGGCACGCCTGCTCGCGGCGTAGGTGCAAGGCGGAGCAGCGGGCCGGGGGAGCGCTGCTGCAGCTGCAGGCTGCAATATACAAAGAGTGCGAGGACGAGGTAGGGCCAGCCCTGGAGGCCGCTGTAGAGGACGGCGATGCTGACGGCGCCGCGGCCGCGCTCGCGCGGCTGCGGGAGCTGAGGGGTCAGTATGAGTCAGAGATCAAGGCGGTGAAGGCGAGCGCCAAGGCGCGGCGCTGGATGCAGGTGGGGGGCGCGGAAGGGGGAGGGAGGTCGGGAAGCGTGGCCGGGCGGGGCGGCGCGGCAGGCGCGCGCGCGCTCTAGAGGGAG